GTAACATGCGGCATCTGTTTTAACAATGCATAGCTGTTACAACATTATCCCACAATTTAGGTCAGGTGATAAAGATTGAATCCTATATCCAACAGAAACCACAAGGGAATTCAGTTTGATAATAGATAATTGCCTACATTGGGATCTGTCCAGTGCATCAGGACTACCATTCCTATTTTTGCAAAAAAAGTGTTCAAGATTCCGCAGTAAAACCCATGCGCTCACATAGAAAGCATCTTATTTCCTCCATAATTATTATGGATCTTTAATGACCATTAATGGTCAGGACTTTACATTCTATCTCCTGCCCCTTAACACAATACTGAGATTTCAGAGCTCATGAGGAAAAGTACCATCTGTTGAATCACTAGCAACACTTCCTCTTTGCAGCCCACCAGGCTTGATTTTCTACTTTCTTGAATGCTGTTTAGAGACACAAGGTGGGTGAAGTAATATCTTTTATTGGACCAACTTCTGTTGGTGAGAGAGAGAGAGAGAGAGATAAGCTTTTGAGCCACATAGAGCTCGTCTTTAGGTCTGGGAAAGGTACTCCCAGTGTCACAGCAAAAGTCGGGGTTAGTTGATTACAGTTATCTAATCCCCTCTTGTTTGTCCTATGACTGCTATGGCCTTGAATGGTCCCTTACAAAATGTGCTATCTACTTATGCTAAACAATGTGTTCCACTTTGCATTTTGCTGTGAGGGTGGGAGTACTTTCCCCAGACTCTGTGTTGCTTGAAAACTTGTCTCTCTGTCTCATCAACAGAAGTTGGTCCAATAAAAATATTACCTCACCCACCTTGTCTCTCTAATATAATGGGACCAACATGGTTACAATGACACTGCATTGCAAACTGTTTAGTCATTTACACTTGTGCAAAGCCTGGGAAAACACTACCACCAGTGTGAGAAGTGAATTTTGACTAGGTAGCATTTTGCCCATGTATAATTGACTGCAAAAGGTACAGGACAATGGAGGCCAACTATGTTTTCTTTGCAACTCTCCCATACAGATAGTAATCATTCCGGCCATACTTAACTTGGGAGTTTTGGCAAGATCACACAGTCTGAATGTATCTTTGTCCTTGATTACAGTAAGCTAATGAATTGGTAAAACTAGCATTTCAGACTGCGCTTGTCAAAGGAATCTAAGGGAGTACAATGCAAAACTCCCATGAAAGTCTTAGAGCAGTTAGGTTACAGGCAGAGGCGTTATAAATGGAATAGTACCTTCCATTTTAATATAATGCTGATTCTTGATGTATATTTTCTTATAGTCAGGATTAAAGCTTCTTCTGAAAAGACTTGCCATCTAGAATCTAATAATTACCATTTTGAAATATATGAAAGCATCACAATTAGGACTGACACCATCTGACACCATTTCATTCTTTAACTGTTATTGGAAAAGTAATCATGCCCACCTTATGTAACTTGTGCACATCTGAATGATTGCAAGACAAGCAATCATTTGTATACTTAGTAATTCTGATACATTTCTAAGATTTTTTCCCCTTTTCTCTTGGTTAGTTATAAATAGTTCTTTTAAAGCAATCTGTAATAGCTATTCAAAAATCTGAAATGGAGAATTAATTTGCTAACAAACAGAAATGCTTTCTTGCTTCTTTTATACCACACTCCAGTCAAATTGGAATAATTTAGATTTAAATCCCCCCTTGTCTTTTAATCTTCTCTCTAAAAGTTGAGTAAGGAATTGCAAAGAAAGAATGAGACCATATTAAGAAACTTTAAATAACCAAAGGCCATGAAGAGAAGAAAACCTTTAATTGCTTATATACCAGTGCTAGGAGCTTGAGTAATGAACAAGAGGAATGATGGGGTGATTCATGTGATTGAAATGTTAAAATTAAAGGTGATTACCTATTTAGGAAGGATTGAGTGGGCAAACGGGGAGTGGAGTGGCAAGAGACAATATGGAGTAGTAGTTAATGTCTGCTATAGACCTTCAAATTACACTATGGAACAGGATGACCAGCTACTTACACATCTATCTCTAATATGTAAGGGGGAAAGCTGCATGGTCACGGGGGACATCAATTTGAATGACATATACCGAAGATCTCATTCTGCCAGTACTGAAATATCCTTGGAATTTCTAAACATTATAGGATGACAATTTCCTAACTTAAAAAGTGTTGCATCCAATATGAGGGAATTCTATGTTAGACCGCATCTTGACAGAAAAGAGGAACTGTTACAGAACTAAAAAAAATAATGGTAGCTTAGGTACAACTGATCATGACTTGATCACATTTATAATGTGCAAACAGAATAAAGTCCACGCCAGTGATACGTGCGCACGCGCGTGCAAACACACACTCACAGAGATTTAGAAGTTCTAATTTCACTAAGCTGAAAACAATTATGAGCCAGATCAGCTGGGAGGAAAAAAATTAATCAGGAAAATCTGAATGATAAGTGGGAATTGTTTAAGAACACTTTGCTAGTAATCCAAAATTCCACAATTAAAGCAGAAGGCTATATTGGTTTTAAAAAACTCAACAACAACTTCATTTGAGAGGAAGTGAAGACAGCTATAAAATATAAACAAATGGAAGAAAGAGAAATTTGACAGTAATGACTATAACTTAGAAGATAGGAACTGTAGAAAATTGATAAGGAAGCAAAGGGACATAAGGGCAAATCTCTGTCCAGCAGAGTAAAGGAAAACAAGGAGGGTTTTTATTAAGTATATTAGGAGCAAAAAAGAATTCTAACAATGGTATTGGTCCATTACTAGGTAGAAAATGTTCTAATCCTCATCTCTGTCTAGCAGTGAAATGGAAAGAAAATCAGGTTCACAATAAAAACTGCAGGAGTACTTGTGGCACCTTAGAGACTAACAAATGTATTTGCGCATAAGCTTTCATGGGCTAAAACCCACTTCATCGGATGCATGCAGTGGAAAATACAGTAGGAAGAGATATATATATATATATATACACACACACACAGAAAGAACATGAAACAATGGGTGTTACCATGCACACTATAACAAGAGTGATCAGTTAAGGTGAGCTATTACCAGCAGGAGAGGAACAAAACTTTTTGTAGTGGTAATCAAAATGGCCCATTTCCAGTAGTTGACAAGAAGGTGTGAGGAACCATAGGGGGGGAAATAAACATGGGAAAATAGTTTTACTTTGTGTAATGACCCATCCACTCTCAGTCTTTATTCAAACCTAATTTAATGGTGTCCAATTTGCAAATTAATTCCAATTCAGCAGTCTCTCGTTGGAGTCTGTTTTTGAAGCTTTTTTGTTGTAATATTGTGACTTTTAGGTCTGTAATGGAGTGACCAGCTCACCTTAACTGATCACTCTCGTTATAGTGTATATGGTAACACCTATTGTTTCATGTTCTCTGTGTGCCAGACCTCACACAGAGGTCCAGCATGGCTATATATACATATATATATATCTTCCTACTGTATTTTCCACTGCATGCATCCGATGAAGTGGGTTTTAGCCCATGAAAGCTTATGCTCAGATAAATTTGTTAGTCTCTAAGGTGCCACAAGTACTCCTGTTCTTTTTGCGGATACAGACTAACACGGCTGCTACTCTGAAATAAAAACTTTGCCTTTCTTCTACCCTTTCTGAACTTCCACTTTGTGTTTATATAGCTTCCATCTAAACATGGCACACACACTATTCCTGTACCTGAAAAGAATGTGGACCCTTCTCGGGGCTTCCTGAAGACCAAATATATGACATCTACAATGCTCCTGTGGTAGTATCCAATAGCTAGGGAGGTTAGTTTCTTTAAATCCACCTAATACATTTCACAGTATTGTCAAGTGAACGATGAAGAAAGACTCCAACCAAATATACAGTTGAAATCTTATAGTTATACTGTCAATAGCCAGAATACAAAGTTACCTTGCTTGCATAGCATCAATAGATTCTGGGTTAGTTGCTGACCCGCCCAATAATGCTGCCTTGCAGCAAGTATGGCTCAGTGATCTTATCTAAACAGGTAGATTAACTCTCAATTACCATCTGCTTGCCATTACTTGATAATTGAGCTCTTGTTGTGTATGTGATGCTAAAAAGAGCCGCTATGAATATTTTGCCTGAGGAAAAGTAAACATTAAGGATAATATGGTTGCTAAGGAAATTCAGTGTAGGCTAGGAGACTATTGTTGATATTATTGCCCTTTATGCAGTATTATATTTTTTCATATACTTATTTTTTTCTTAGATTCAGCAGATTATCTCAGCAAAGCATTATTTATTTTGTGTTTTGCATTTAAACCACTCATAACCTTACCTGCTATGACATCTAATTAGTCCTGTTTTATGTGCTGGCAACATGAATGTATGTGTGTGTGAGAAGACATACAGGATATCCAAGATCCTTATTCACTAATCAGGATTTTCAGCTGGTCAGCTTTCTCTTATTATGTACCTGTACAGCACCTGGCACATGGGACTCTGATCTTGATTTGAGCCTATAGGCAGCACCACAATATAAACAATTATTACCAATACCAATAATAATAAAGCCTGACCTCATGAGATAACCAAATCAATTTCCAGACTGATCTGGAGGAGAGTGGATTTTATTTGAACAGAAATTCTCAAACTTTTGAGGTCTGGCAATAATTAGTTGGCATGGCAGCATATTGGGAAGAGTTTTAGTGCTGAATACAGAAAGCAACAACGAAATCATTTTCAGTTTTTCATAAAGCCCCTTAACACTAACTGGATACTGCATTCTTCTTCACAATTTGTGTTTAAGCTGTTATGTAATGGTATGGGGACTGATAGTCCTGTTCCACTAGGGCTCAGCCCTGAATACAAGGAATCATATAAACTGTACTTTTAGCAATAGAATGTAATGGAATGAGTGAAGTTATTCATGTGCATATGTTTTCAGGACTGGGTCCATAATCCCTAAACCTGTAAAATACGTAGAAACTCACAAAAAGGGCATGTCTACATTATAAAATTAGTTTGAATTTATTTAAGTCGACATTTAGCCTCCGATTTTACAAAGTCGATGTTGCATGTCCCCACTATGCACATTCCGTCAGCGGAGCGCATCCTCACTACCATGGCTAGCATCGAATCAGGGAGCGATGCATTGTGGGCAGCTATCCCACAGTTCCTGCTGCCGACTGGAATTCTGGGTTAGGTTCCCAATGCCTGATGGGACAAAAACATTTCCGCTAGTTGTTTTGGATACATATCGTCAGCCTCCCATGATGCACTTGCCTCCTCCCTTCCTCCATCCCTCCGTCCCAGAAAGCAACGGCAAACAATCATTTTCGCACCTAAGCCTGGGTTACTCATGCAGACACCATAGCATAGCAATCATGGACCCCGCTCAGCTGTACACTGTTGTGAATGTCGCAAACACCTCGCGCACTGTCCAGGATCCACTGCATGGAAGAATGTGATGCCATGCAAATAGCCATGCTGGACGCCATGGAATGGAGCAATTTGCACATGTTGGTGGTGGCAGCCAGGCTTGTTCACACAGTGTAACGCTGCTTCTGGGCCCGGGAAACAAGCATAGACTGGTGGGACTGCATCGTGACGCAGGTATGTGATGAGGAGCAGTGGCTGCATAACTTTCGAATGCGTAAGGCCACTTTCATGGAACTTTGTGAATTGCTTTCCCCAGCCCTGAAGCGCATAAATACCAAAATGAGATCTGCTCTGACAGTTGAGAAGCAAGTGTCGATTGCCCTGTGGAAGCTTGCAACACCAGATTGCTACCAGTCAGTTGGGAATCAGTTTGGAGTGGGTAAATCTACCGTGGGGGCTGCTGTGATCCAAGAGACCAGGGCAATCAATTCACTTCTGCTAAGAAGGGTAGTG